GTATTCACACCCAGACTATGCTAATCAAACTAGGGGACTACCCCAGATGTCACACATCTTTTATTTATATTCACACACCCTAGCTCCAGCCACTTCCAAAAAGCCCCACCCTTGAGCATAGTTCTAGGGCTGAGTTTCTGTTCCCTTTCTAGATCCTCAGCTCCTTGTTTGGACCTATCTTATGGCACCTCGTGCATCACATTCATACGATGGAATGCTACCCTTCTTCACACTATTAACCTCTAAACCCTCCTTAAGGGTGAAGCCATGTCTTGCTGTTTCCCTATTACTACACGTAGGGCTTGGAACATAATAGCCGCTCAATCCTTATGAGGTGGGTTGCTCCACTTAGGCAGAACCCACAAGTGATCAACTGTAATTGAAACTGGATTTTGAGGATGACTAGAATGTTCTAAATGCAGAAATCATGAATAACTAAATTTTTAGAGATCATCTGAACCATGAGGTCTAGCAAAAGTCAAAATTAGATTTTATATCCACGAAGCATTTGGAATTCAGACCCACTAATGTATATCAAGCACACACAGCACACCAGGAACTGTCATGCATTTCACGTAGTGTTGCTTTGTTTGATTCTGAAAGCCACAAAGACATGGGGTGACTCATCTCAGTTGACACACTCAGGTGAAACTCTTCACAACCACATCTTGTGGCTGTGAGGTCCTCGCCACTCACTCTAGCACCCTGGCAGAATGCATCATGATGCGGGAGGCTATCAACAGGTATGCTCCCAAGTTTTCCCAGTGAGAGGTGACATCACTGAGAAGCTGACATTGAAGTAGAGATCTAAGAGAGGCTGAAAGCCAAGGTGACCGGCCACACTAGCTGGTGTCACTGCCCTTTCCCTCAGCTCTGCCTGAACTTGTTTTCTTGGTCATCCTACAGGCTTAGACATACTTGTCTTTGTCAACAGCAGCTTATAACCTTCTCTACACTAGAGCCCCTGCCTCTTTTATCTGCCTCCTTTGTGCTACTGGACTAAATACCTACAACTGGCTTGTTACTCATTTGTTTGCTGCTTCCTTGATTTATACCTTTCCTTCCTTAAATCAAAGGTCATACGTTTTTTTGTTTTGTTTTATTTTGTTTTTATTTTTTTGCTTTTTATTCTATCCTGAAGGCTAAAAGGTACTTATTAAATGAACTAATTTTATTATACCTTCTCTGTTTCTAAAATTTCTTTCCATCTGCCTTGCTTTGCCCAGCAGAGTTTTGGCCTGAAAGCCACAGTTCTTTGTACTTCAGGACAATGAGAAGTCTGCTGGCCCACCTCAGGAGTTCTTAGTATATTTGTGCTCCTAGAGCCCTCTACTATGCAGGCTGCCTGGAAAGCCTCAAATTCTACTCACACCAGTAATTTGCTTCATTACTGTCCTTTCCCAGCATTTATCTTTTTCAGAGATGAAAAAGCACATTTTGGAGGGACACTAGTTGGGTAGAAACCCAGCTCCCATTTCACTAAGCTACATAAACTGGAGCAAGTATTTCAAGTTCTCAACAATGCAGTTTCTCCAACCTTCAAACAGAAATAAGGACCACCACATTCAAGAAAAGAAATAAGAGTAATGGTCTGATGGATGTATTGTGAGGATTAAATGAATTACCAATTAGCAGCCCGAAGAAGGGTGTCGGGCACAGTCATAACTCAGTAAATGTGGGTCACTCATAAACACTTGGTTATGTAATTAGGGTCCATCCACTGCACCTGTCTGTCTGGTTCACTCCTGTGGCTCTAGCACTGAAGCACAATGCCTGGCATTATCCATCCAGTGTCTGTTTACCAAATAAATCAATGAACAGTTTAGGAGGGTGTGCATGCCAGTGATGTGAAATCCAAATTGCAAAATCAAAATTAGATTTTACATCCATTAAGCACTTGGAATTCAGGTTCGCCAATATTTATCAAGCGCACAGTATGCCAGGTGCTGTCATACATTTCATGGAGGGCTGCTTTGTTTGATCTTGAAAATAATCCTGTCAGACAGGAAGGCAAAGAAATTAAGTGACTCATCTCAGTCATCACAGTGCAGCAAAATTCTTTACTATCACATCTTGTGTCAGACCTCAGCAGTCTTGGATGGCACTGAATTCTCTCCTGAGTGGAAATAAGGAGACTCTCCTTGTATTAATGGCTTTTTCTAGTCAAGCAATGAACATCAAATATATTTCTGCATGAAGACTTGAAAACTCACCCCATTAGATGATAAACTGCTATTTGCCAGGATGATCAAGTTGGTTATTGTTTTATGAATGGCCTCATTTCTGGACTCATGTAAAATGACCCGCAACTCCAGGAGAAAGCACTTCATTGCCGTGATTTTGCAATTGGGCTAAAAGTGAGAGTTACAAAGATCTTGAAAAACCTACTTTTCCATTGTTCACTTTCACACTGATGTAATTCCATTTTGTAACAACAGACCAAATATTTTATAGACACAGAATTCCCAATCGACATTTTACAGAATAAATAGCTTTGAAATACTTTTTAGATTTTTGGCTTTGAAATCAAAACCAAACAAGCCAACGGAGAAGCACAAACAATGTTGCTACTGTACAAATGAAAGAACTTAGGGGCCAGG